GGAGGAAGGTTTGGTGGCAGCAACTTCGGCGGAGGCCGCAGGAGTGGCGGTTACGGCAGCGACGACAAGAGCTACGGACGCGGTCGCGGCCGATTCGACGGCGAGTGTCACTATTGCCACAAGAGCGGACACATGTGGCGCGACTGCTACAAACTCCCTGATGGTTGGACCCCTGCTCAAGGCTAAGAGGGTAGAGGAGCAGGAGGAGGGAGAGGACGAGGCCGTGGAGGCCGTGGCGGTCGCGGTGGCGGAGCTGCAAACATGAAGAGCGGAGACAACGACAAGGACCCGAGCGACGATCGATACCCGGGTCTATTCTACTTCGTGTCGATGCAAGTACTGGCTGGTCCAGAGAAGGATGAAGGCTTTGAGGAGCCAGCAGCTGTGGGGAAGGTGACCCTACACCCCCTGGACTATTGGGTGATTGATAGTGGCGCTACCTATAGCATGACACCTCGCCCGGACTTGCTCACCGAACTCGAGCCGTCACCGGTGAAGCATGTCACATCGGCTTTGGGGCAGCGAGCAGAGGTGAAAGGCATGGGCAAGGCCATGTTCAAGGGTGCTGATGGGAAGATGGTGGGCCTCAAGAACGTGCTTTGGGTGCCCAGCCTTGCTGCAAACCTGATTTCCGTGCGGCGGTTGGCAAAGGCCGGCATGGACACGAACTCGAAGGGAGCCAAGACCTACACCGCAAGGCTTGGCGATCGAATTCTTTGGGACCTTCATGAGGACAGGGATGTCTACAACGAGATGTGGCAGATCCCAGTGGTCCCTATGCCTAAGGAGAGGCAAGTGGCAGCAAGCATCAGCACCAAGGATGGAGCGGTCGGTCGCGACGATGGCGCGAACGGTCGCGCTAAGGAGAATGAGCTCAAGAAGAGCAAACCTGGAGGGACCAGCAAGTTCAGTGAACCTAAGGAGAGTGGTGCAGCAACCAAGGAGCAGCAAAAGGGTGAGGAGAACCCAGAGGCAGCAGCGGAGGAGGACTACGGAGAGAGTATGTGGGGCGCTATTGCGAGCGCGGCATTCTCCAATCCAACTTCGGCTACGGGGGAGTGTGATTGGCTCACCTTGCATCGGCGCATGGGGCATGTGGCCCTGCCCATCTTGCAGCAGCTAGTGAAGAATGAGATGGTTGCTGGCATACGTGTGAAGGGGGAGCCCGATGAGGTGCTTGGCTGCCCGACGTGCATTCAAGCCAAGTTCACCCGGTTTCCGTTCCCTAGTTCGGAGGCAACGGCAAAGGCACCGCTTGATGAGGTGGTGATGGACGTGGTGGGCCCCTGAAGCTTGGAGCTGCTGGAGCTGAGTATTTTCTCACCATTGTCGACGTCTACACCCGCATGACTTGGGTGTACGTGCTGGCCAAGAAGAGCGACGTGGCTGAAACGTTGAAGACGGATTGGTTCCCGATGGTGGAGCGGCAACAAGACCGTCTAGTCAAGTCAATCCGCACCGATCGAGGGGGAGAGTTCCTGAGCAAGGAGTTTGGGTTGTGGCTGAAGAAGAATGGTATTCGGCACTCCCTCACCATGCCATACTCCCCTGCAATGAACGGCATCGCCGAGCGAGCGAACCGCACAATCACGGAGGCGGCACGCGGGTTGCTCATTGAAGCCGGGCTACCCGACTATTTCTGGCCTGATGCGGTGCGGAGCGCGTGTGTGGCCAAGAACAGAGCCTTGACTCATGTGGGAGCAGACAAATGGGTGCCCTATGTGGAGTGGCTAGGAAGGAAGCCAAAGGTGGATATGCTTCGGGTGTTCGGGTGCATGTGCATGGCGCTCGTGCCTAAGCATCTTCGGCACAACAAGCTTGGTGCCAAGGCGGTGTGGGCCGTGCACTTGGGCATGGCTCAAAACAGCAAGGGATGGCTTCTTTGGGACCCATTCACCAAGAAGTTCTTGGTGAGCAGGGACTGCAAGTTCATGGAGAACTTCATGTACAAGGATTGGAAGGCGGAGAATGAGGCGAAGATAGGCGTGCGGTTTGGGGAGGTGAAGAGTTCCGGTTTGGAGCATGTGGAGCTGCCTTTGGAGCTGAGCAGCGGCAGCACAACCACAAGGCAATCCTCCCTTGTGAATGGGGGAGAGGAGGCCAATGATGCAGAGGAAGAAGAGGAGGAGGTGCAGCAAGTGAGCGAGCGTGCACCGTCACTCCCTTCCCGTACTACGAGTGCTCCACGGATTCGAGCCACACCGCAGCAACGCCAAGGCCTTCAAGTCCCTGCAGCTGAGGAGGAAGGAAGGGGAAAGAGGAGAGTTCAACCCCCTAATAGGCTGACCTATGATGCGCCGGGAAAGCAGGGCAAGACAGCCCTGGCCGGAGCAGCAATGATGGTCGGAGACGACGAGGAGAGTGACTACGAGGAGTGTGCCTTCGCGTTCTTCTCTCCGGTGGAGATGCCGGGAGAACCAGCAACTCTCAAGGAGGCTTTGGAGAGTAGTGATGCTGAGGAGTGGAAGAAGGCCATGGAGAGTGAGCTGAAGAGCATCGAGGAGAATGACACGTTTGAATTGGTGGAGCTACCGGAGGGGCGTACGGCGATAACGTCCAAGTGGCTCTTCAAAATCAAGTCGGATGCCAACGGCAAGATCGAGCGCTACAAGTCTAGGCTTGTAGCCAAGGGGTACCAGCAGAAGGAGAAGGTGGACTTCAAGGAGCTGTTTGCCCCTGTGGTGAAGCCGACGACGCTGCGAACCCTATTCGCGGGAGCCGCCATCAAAGGATGGGTAGTAAAGCAAATGGACATCGTAACGGCATTCCTTAACGGCATCCTTGAGGAGGAGATTTTTATGGCGCAGCCAGAGGGGTTTGATGATGGTAGTGGCAGAGTGTGGAAGCTGAAGAAGGCCCTCTATGGGCTGAAGCTGGCCCCTAGGCAATGGTACATGAAGCTGCGCGAAGTGTTGGAGGGGATCGGCTTCACTCCCTCAACGGCCGATCACTCCTTGTTCATGCTTGGCGAGGGGGAGCAGAGGAGTTTCATGGTGGTTTATGTGGATGACATCCTAATTTTCTCACCCTCTTCTGACCTTGTGAAGGAGGTGATGCTGAAGCTTCAAGACAAGTTCAAGTGCAAGGCCCTTGGTGACGTGAGCTTCTACCTTGGGCTCCACATCGAACGAGATGTGGAGAAGCGGTGCATGCGGGTGCAACAACGAAAGTACCTGGGGGCATTGGCTGCCAACTTTGGGCAGAGTGAAGGCCATGTGGCTACACCCTTTCCCTCTGGGTTCAAGTGTGTGAAAGGACCAGAGGAGGAGAGCGTTGGTGAAGAGGAGAGGCGCCGTTTTCACTCGTTGGTGGGCAGCCTCATGTATGCGGCGGTAAACACCCGACCGGACGTCGCGTTTGCTACCGGGCAATTGGCTAGGGTTGTGCAATGCCCTAATGAGGAGCAGGTAGCAGCTGGAATGAGGGTGGCCAAGTATCTTGGCCAAACACCGACCGTTGGGCTGCAATACTCGGCGGCGGCACAAAGGCGCCAAAAGGGCGCGGATGGTGTTGAACCCGGGCGTTTGTTCCTCACCGCCTACTCGGATGCTTCATATGCATCAGAACCAGAGGACATGACAAGTGTGGGAGGCTTCATATGCTGTGTTGGTGGAGGCCCAACTGCTTGGGAGAGCAAGAAGCAGGTTGACCAAGCTTTGAGCTCGGTGGAGTCCGAGTACATGGCACTCTTCCGTGCCGTACGGGAGATTGTGTGGCAGCGGCGTTTGTTGGCTGAATTGGGGGAGGAGCAGCAAGGACCTACCCCACTGTACTGTGACAGCCAGGGTGCCATTGCTCTTGCTAAGAACCCTGTGTTGCATGGACTCACGAAGCACATGAGGGTGAAGTGGCATTGGACGAGGAGCATGGTAACCGCGGGTGAAGTTGAGTTGCGCTACGTGAAGACCACGGGGCAGCCGGCTGACATGATGACCAAGAGGCTGGTGGAGCAGCAGCATTGGAAGTGTTGCAAGCTGGCTGGGATGGCTCTGAACTGAGAGAGCAACATATCCTAAGGCCAACAATCCAAGGGGGAGTTTGTTGGTGCAACCCTACGGTTTGCACTCGGCTTGTTGTCCGTGTGCGTGAATGTGTGTGTGTATGGAATGGTATGAGGGCATGGGATAATATATATTTCATGCTTATAATTGTGTGTGAATGTTGAGTCATGATGTCGAGTGTGTGTGTCGAGTCAATAGCGAGTTATCGCTAGACGCGTGTTACGCGGTCATTTGTGTATCGCGCGCGGTTTCTATTTTGTCGTGCGTGGTTTCTATTTTGTCCTGTGTCGAACGTTCGGCGTGTCGCAGGTGTGTGCAGCAGACCCATCAAGAACTCAAGGATGAGTTTGTGATGAAGAGCCCGAGCCTTGGTGTCAAGCCTCAAGTGATTTCGAAGCTTGCCAAAAGGGTACACCTCAAGATATTGAAGATAGTTACATTACTTTGTGTAGTGTAACATTTCACTTGGTGTAGGCCCTAGTGAAGGGTAGTTTCGAGACCCTTCGTGGTTGGGGACAGTGTGGCACTGTTCCACATCACTGTACCTCGGCTCTTGGGGTTTGTAGGAGCTGGGAGTCATTCCCAACTCGTAACTCTTCCTATCTTGTGTTCTAAGACTATAGTGGCTGCCATAGTACCGTTCGTTCAAACCGACGCTGTGTCGTCAATTCTTTATCAAATCGTGCAATCTAAATTGCTAATTGTAGAAGACGTGAAGACGCTCCAGATCCAATTTGAATCAAGTCATTTGCAGCTGTGAGCAGAACGCTATCAACGTTTGAAGCCGCTTTGCAGAAATCCGTCTGTGCTCTCTATCTTTCGTTTTAGGCACATTCAAGCCTATTGTGACTATAACAGACAGCGCGGCCTTCGGCCGCGCGTGAGGGGACGGCAAGGGAACACGCACACGAGTGACTATATGCAACGGCATACAAGCAATGGCACTCCCTACATCAGCCTAGACAAGTGAAGCGACCATGGGGCAACCGGAGCCCGCGTCTACATGCGGTGAGCTCCAAGGGCGTGAAGAACGCCCGTCAGGGAGCGCCACAGCTCCCGGACCACAAGCGTGCTTGCGCCGATCGCCGCGACTCCAGATCCTGCACGGAAGTGCCGCCGCAGGCCCCGGACAGCCTCGTCAAGCTGTCCCGCAGCAGCAGCGCCTCCCTCCGCGGGCGCAGCCAGCACGGGCGCCAGCAGCACCGCGAGCTGGTCCGCCGCGTCCAGGCAAGAGTCACGCTGGCGGCCACGGAACGTCTCAGGAGGGATCACAGGGAGAGACGAGTGGGCCAGCACCTGAATCAGCAGCAGAGCATGGAGACTGTCAGCGAGGCGGTGTAGCTGTCCGAGAGTTGCCTCGGGAACACGGGTTTGTGGAGGCTGGAGTGCCTCCGCTAGGAACTGGAGCGGCTCATCAGCATCAGCTGGGAGAGCAAACGGAGCCGCCAACGAGCCGCCACCCGCGGCCACAAACTCCACTCCCGCAACGGGCGGAAGCGGCGGCAGATGGAGACGAGAACCGGGAGCAGATGCCGATACAGCGGGAGAAGGAGCAGGTGGCGCTTGGATCTGAGGGGGAGGCGCAGCAACAGGCTGCAGGTTCGGAGGGAGAGCAGCTGGACGGGGAGCCTCGTGGGCTGGCAAGGCGCGCAGCGAATTGCTCTGGCTCTGCGCCGCCCTCGACACTTCCCGCTAGAGATCCGCCATCGTCACAGGCGGGCGATACCCCCCACCCCCGCCAAAAGCACGGGGACCCCTCCAATCCCCCTGACCCCCGGGGTGAGCAGGCCAGTGCGACTGTTGCTGGTACCGCCGTGGAGACTCACGCCGGCGACGAGAGGACCTGCGGTCCTGATGGTGAGCGGGGGAATGGGGGCGTGACGAGCGACGGTCAGGCGACGGAGGGCGCGACGGCTGGCCTGCAGGAGCCACCGCCGTCACAGCAGGGGCGGACTGGCCCGCTGCCGCAGGCGCAACAGACGGAGCCAGCCCGCCAGTGGTGGCGGACGCCACCTTTGGTGACGAAGCAGAGGCCTGCGCAGGCAGGCAGGGGACAGAAGCGGTCGGCGCAGCAGGGGCGCCAGGGACAGGTGCCGGGGGTTCTGCAACACCCCCAGCAGGGGCGGACGCCGACGGCTCGACAAGGGGAGCCAGGGGGCCGGGTGCCGCAGGCAGAGCAGACGGAACAGCAGCGGGAGCGGACGGTCCTGCCTCCGACCCAGCAAGGGGATCCGCGGGTGCGTGGGGGGGAGTCTTTTCAGAGACTGCTGTCACGGGTTTCGGAGCCGGCGGTAGAGGGGGCTTCGTCGCCATGGTCGCCCTTTCGGGCTCCACCGGAGGATTGGCGACCACAGCCGACCAGGCGGCAACGAGCTCTGGCGACGGCTCAGGTGCTCCGGCAATCACCATCCCTAGAGCAGGGTAGCCGCGTGGCGAGGAGAGAAACCGTAAGCGGAACAGGCGGAGGGCCAGAGAATGGGTATCAGGCGGCGGCGCGTGCGGCTTTAAACAACGTTGAAGAAACTAATGATGAAGATGAGCGGGACGACCCATCTTATAGGGAAGAAGCCCTCCCCGAGAGTGAGGAGGAGGAGACGGAGGGGGAAGGCATGGCGAGAGAAGGACCAAGGAGAAGGGAAGAGGTGGTGCAGCAGGCGGAATTGCAAGTACCACTGATGACACGGCCACCATCCGATGCTGATCGGACGGGTGCAAATCCAACCTCGGGCCCACCAATGAGATCGAGCCGCGCTGGGAGAAATCGAACCGCCAATGCCGGTACTACGGCGCGCCCACCAGCGTCAATTCCCCGCTACTTTTCACCAGACGAGCTAGCGAAGCGGACAGACCTGTTCGCAGCCATCGCGAACTGGGACATTCCAGCACTCTGCGATAGTCGTCAGCCTCCACTGTCACGGTGTTTACCGCCAAACCTGTGTCAGCTTTTTTCGCTCGCGCTACTGACACCGTTACACCACCTATCGCGAAACCTTGATTCGGAAATGGGATGGCGCCTGCTGCTGTTTCTCCCGCGCCTGACTCTTCGCCAGACTTCGCCACAACGCCCGAACTGGCCAAGTGTCAAAAGCCGGCTCCGAGCTTTCCAGCGTGGCGAATTGGATCAGCTGTACCAAGACGCGTTGAATGCAGTCAACACACCGCCCCCGCCAAGACATCAACCAGATGTGACAGGCGTCATCAGCCGCGCAGAGAGCCTGGCAAAACGTGGCAGTCTGCGCCGAGCCGTGCTGGCCCTCGAGTCAACGCCTGTCTGCACACCCAGCCCGGAAATATTGGAGGAGCTACGGCGAACGCACCCACCTGCCGCAGACAAGGCAGTGACGTGGCCGGAGCCGCAGGGGTCAAAACTGTCAATCCCCCACCCTGACTTCGCAAAAATGTTGGGACGATGCGAGAATGGTGTAGGAGCCGGACCGTCAGGGATGACATTCGAGCACCTGCGCGACGCGGCGATCACCAACGCTATGGTCAGCACCCATCTGCACGCCTTGGTCAACACCATGCTGGGAGGGAAATTGCTTGACTCGGTTGCAAACCTGCTGACGGCGTCGCGACTCATAGCCCTGGCCAAGCCAGGGGGAGGGGCTAGGCCAATCGCAATCGGCGAATGCCTGACGAGGCTGGCAGCGAAAGCCGCCCTGTTAATCATGGGAGAACCGGTCCGCGATTTCTTCCTACCGCTGCAGTACGGGGTGGCAGTTCCAGGTGGAGCAGAGGCAGTAATCCACGCAGCACGGGCCTTCGCGGATGCCCGCCCGAACAGCCTGATCCTACAAGCTGACATTTCAAATGCCTTCAACAGCATTTCGCGAACCGCCATCGCCAACGCGTTACACGAACCCGCCCTCTTGCCACTGCTGCCGCTCGTGAAATTGACCTACGGTAACCCGTCGCAATTATTACTGGATTCCAACTTCAACAGCGAACCACTCACAAGTGAACACGGCGTGCGTCAGGGCGACCCACTTGGGCCGCTACTGTTTGCAGCAGGGATACACGCCACGCTTCAAGAAACGGCCGAAGCACATTCTGACGTGCTATGCTTGGCGTATGCGGACGATGTCACCTTCCTGGGTGACACATCCCGCACTGTAGCTGCATTCACACACTTCACGGCCAAGTTGGCACACCTGGGCCTTGAGCCTAACCCACAGAAATGTGCTGCCTGGAGTTCAAGCACGATCGACACAGATTCCCTTCCGCCAGGAGTGCCGTTATCTAAAAATGGCGTGCGGCTGCTGGGTAGTTTCGTGGGGCAGGACAGTGACGCAGCCCAGTTCCTAGCGGGACAACTCGCTGAGATGTCAAAGCCCCTACCCTTACTCGAGCGAGCGGACCCCCATGTTGCAGCACTGCTACTCACGCGCTGCATCTCACGACGAGTTGCTTACCTCGCCAGGACGACACCACTCCATCTCCTCCCCCGGGATAAGTGGAGCCAGTGGGGTAGGGATCTGCTTACCACGCTCCTCACATCGTGCGATATCCGCTTCCCGACCCGTCGAACCGAACAATCGCGGGTCTGGGAACAAGCGTCGCTGCCACCATTGTTAGGAGGCCTGGGCATCACTGACCCACTAGTCGAGGGGATTTACGGCTTCATAGCAAGCTTCACTCAGGCGGCACTCTATATCAGCTCCCTATCACTAGAACACGATAACGCCCTCGCACTAGCACGGAACCATATGCTACTGCCGCCGGTTGACAGCACACCGCTACACACCTGGCTGACCGAGTGCGAGGAGGCACTGCCGTTAGATGCGCTGGAGATTCTGGAGAAGGAGCGGCTGGAGCGGTCTGACATCCGGCTCCAGCATGTGCTAGGACTCAAGGTCCACGGAAGCAGATATGCAGTCCAGGTGCGGGCGACGAGGCGTATGAAGCCGAATCCGCTTGCGGGTCACACGCAGCGGATGTTTTCACTCACTGGCTACGGCACAGGCGATTGGCTCACCGCGATTCCCATCGCTCCCACAAGGCGGATAGGGCCAGTGCACTTCGCCAACGCCGTACGCTTCCGTCTTGGTCTACCGTTTTCCACTCCCAAAAACTGTGACTGTGCAGAACACACGGCTATCACTGACGCCCGCCTCCCGAACCACCTGCTCCGCTGCGGCACAGGCAAGCATCGCACAAACACGCACAATGAGCTGCGCGACGCCTGCGTTAGCATGGCGCAAGACGCGGGGTTTGTCGTACATAGGGAGTCAGCGGCCTACTGCCCTATCGAGGAGCAAACCGCCGACTTCACCATGACTGATAGGAGCAGTGGGGCGGTTTACATCTGCGATGTTACCATCACTGACCCTATCAGCACTAGGGACCCGGAAGCACAGAAGGGCAGGGGATGGGCGGCACGGGAACAGGCCGACAAGAAAAGCAAGCATTACGCCAACCGCCCAGAGACGGTTGGCTTCTTCCCCCTTGCAGTCGACACCTACGGCTGTCCTTGCGCCGAGGTGCCTGTCTTCCTCAAGCTCCTGGCAGACACAGCGGCTCGGCGCCACTTCAACGCCGACTCAAAATCCTACTATGCCGCCAAGTTTCTGCACCAATTCAGGCAACGGTGGTCGGTGGCCCTGCAGAGAGCACAATCCGTGGGACTCCTCCATAAGTTGGGCGAGGCAGCAGCGGCAGAAAACCCCCCTGTGGGAGGCATAGGGCAGGAGCTGCACCTTGGGGATTGCTTCGCGGTAGTTGAGCCTTTTCTGGAGCTCTAGAGAGGGCGGTGGTGTGGTGGTTGTGTGACTGGTTGGTGTTGTTTGTTTGTTTGGTTAGCTAGACCTTGCCATCCATATCTTGCATGTCTGTACCTTCCAACTCTATCAATTTACGGACCATTAGAGAGAGAGAGAGAGAGAGAGAGAGTGAGAGAGAGAGAGAGAGAGAGAGAGAGAGAGAGAGAGAGAGAGAGACGGGACCCACCCCACCCACCCACCTGTGATCCATGCGGCCAGAGCATTCCTGGATGCCCGCCCCACCAGCCTAGTTCTGCAAGCTGACATCAAGAACGCATTCAACAGTATTTCGCAACAGGCCATCGCCACTGCGTTACAAGCCCCCGACCTCTCGCCACTACTGCCGCTCGTCAAATTAACCTACGGTAACCCGTCGCAGCTGTTCCTGGATGTCAACTACAACTCCGAACCACTGCATAGCGAACGCGGGGTCCGCCAGGGGGACCCACTTGGCCCGCTACTGTTTGCGGCGGGGATACATGCCACGCTTCGCGACACTGCAGATGCTCACACTGGCGTGCTCTGTTTGGCGTATGCGGACGACGTGACATTCATAGGGGACACCGAAGACACTGTAGCAGCATTTACCCATTTCACGAGCAAATTGTCACTTCTAGGGCTCGAGCACAACCCACAGAAGTGTGTAGCCTGGAGCTCGAGTGCAGTCCAACCAGCCCACCTACCTCCAGGGGCGCCGTTCTCACAGGACGGCGTGCAACTGCTAGGCAGCTTCATGGGGCCTGACAGCGGCGCGGCGACTTTTCTAGCAGGACAGCTGGACGACATGGCGAAACCGCTGACACTCATCGAACGGACGGACCCACAGGTTGCGGCATTGCTCATCACGCGCTGCATTTCGAGGCGGGTCGCATACCTCACAAGGACGACGCCCCTAAACCTCCTCCCCCGCGACAGATGGAGCCAGTGGGGAATGGACCTGCTCACTACGCTCCTTACCGCTTGCGACATCCGCATGCCGACCTGCAGAGCAGAGCAAACACGGGTCTGGGAGCAGGCGTCGTTACCTCCGTCGTTGGGAGGTCTCGGTATCACGAACCCCCTCATCGAGGGGATTTACGGCTTCGCGGCGAGCTTTACCCAGGCGGCGCTCTTTCTCAACAACCTCTCGTTGGGAGAGGAGAATGCGCTTACGCTGGCCCGGAATCACATGCTCCTGCCGCGGGACAGCAGCACGCCACTGCACACTTGGCTGATGGGGCCCTCCGGTGGGGGGCATTGGGCATGAGCTGCACCTGGGGGACTGTTTTGCAGTAGTGGAACCACTCCTAGAGCTCTAGAGTGGGCCAGTAGGGTGGTAGCAGAAGAAGCCTAGGTGATGTTGCACTGTGTTTTCATTTGCCTGCTTTATACCTTGCATGTGTGTACCTTCCAGCACTATCAATACACGGACCATTAGAGAGAGAGACGGGGCGGTTTATGTGTGTGACGTCACCATCACAGACCCCATCAGCACAAGGGATCCGGAGGCAGAGAAAGGAAGGGGATGGGCGGCATGGGAACAGGCTGACAAAAAGATCAAGCATTACGCTAACCGACCAGAGACAGTTGGCTTTTTCCCTCTGGCCGTGGTAACCTATGGCTGTCCATGCGCCGAGGTACCAGTTTTTTGAAACTCTTAGCAGACACAGC